TGCTGATACCAGTAGCATCCCCATGTGTCTGTAAACAATACAGGAAAAGGAAACATGGTTGCAGTGAGCAGAGACAAAGGTCAAGAAGCAGAAGTATAAAGTTGAAGATGAGAAGCTGAGAGCAAGAGACATTCAGAAACTCTTTTAAATCCCACCCATTAAACCTGAATGCCACTGTGGAAGGTGGGACACTTCAAGGTGTAGTTGTCAGTAATGAGAACACACAGAAAATTTTAGGCAAATTAACTAATTTTACAGGGGTGGGGATCCCATTTGAGTATCAACAGAAGAGGCTGACAAGTTAGGAACCCTGTGGTAGACTGAAAAATAGCCCCCAAAATATACTAATGTCCTAATTCCTGGAACCTGTGAATGTCACCTTACCTGGCAAAAAAGGGGCTTTGCAGGTGTGATTAAGTTAAGAATCTTGAGATGGGGATAGTGTCTTGGATTATCCAAGTGCAATCACATATATTCTTATATAAGAGAGGCAAAGGGAAACTTGACACATGCAGAGAAGACACTGTGAAGACAGAGCAGAAAGATTTGAAGATACTGACCTATAAGATAAGATTGAAGTGATGTGGCTACAAGCCAAAGAGTGCCAGCAGCCACCAGAAATGAGAAGAGACAAGGAACCAATTCTCCACTTGAGCCTGGCCTTACCTATGGCTTGATTTCATGTTAGTAATACTGATTTTAGACTTCTGGCCTCCAGAACTGTGAAAGGATAAGTATTTGTAATTTTAAATCACCAGGTTTTTGGAGATTTGTTATGGCAACCACAGGAAACTAATGTAACACTGTCATTACACCATAATACGTCAGAGTCCTGGAAGTATGATTTGGGGAAAACTTCTCCCCGCCCCCTAGAGGTACCTCTTCTGGATCCACATGGAAGAGGCTGACAAAGCAACCAGAGTGGAAAGCAGAGCACATTTCATAATCTCAAAAGTTGAAGGACCCAGATTTATAGCAGGTTGATTCAGTGATAGCTTTTTTTTTTTTTTTTTTTTTAATCTTCTGTGAGATTCTATACAGATATATTGATGGGCACACAGAAAACTTGAATATGTTCTTTTATCAGTGCAGGTAACAATTGGAAAATGTAGTTTACAGCTGAAAAGTTAAGTGTATGTATATGTGTGTGTGTATCTGTGTAGAGAGGGACTGACTTTGCATTTTAATAGTGAGTTTCTCCATTATAGAACTCTAATGAAATATTTATCCTTATCCTTTGAAACCCATAGTGATGTGGAGATTAAGAAGAAAGAAGAGTTGCCCTCGATTATGCCACTGAGAGCAGATTAGTCCTTCTACTCTTGAGCTGGGAAGAGAATTCAAGGGTGTTGTGCTAACTAGGCCCCCAAGTTTTAGGTCACCTTTGTCATAGGACACTAGACTCTTGTTCCACTTGGCCATGGTTTATGGGCAGTGTAGACTCTAAAACCCCACCATTAGAGACAGTGACTCAGTATGTCTGGAATAGGGCTGCAGTCTGTTTTGAAAGAGTACCCTGGTTCACTCTGATATGGTGGATGAGGGATAGATTTTAAGAAACACTGATAAAGCTTGTAATTTCTAACAAGCAAAGTGAAACACTTATTTTCAGAATTGTCAGAAGAGACGAACAGAAGCTCATTTTGAAGCAGAAATAGAGCCTTCTGTATACTGCTTGAGAACAACTCTGTTCAACCTTTTCAGTATATATTTGGGACTCTTTGTCTCTGTTGTTGAAGTGAAACACATTTATTATTTAAGTTTATTTACTTCCCCCATTTGGTCCTAACTAAGGTAATCCAAGGACACAGTATGATTTTCTTTTTAGAGACAATTTTTCCACACAGGGAGCTTATTTGTAATTTGACTGAGACTTCTCTTTTTGTATTAGTATGAATAGACAAAAAATACATTACTTAAAATCACATGTAAGCTGAGTGAAGGGTATGTGGGTATTTATTATATTATTCCATTTCTTTTTGTGTATGTTTGAAATTCTCTGTTGCAAAAACATTTTTAAAAATCTCATGAAAGGAAGAAGCCAAATAAATGGAGTGGGGGCTAGCTGAACCATAGCATACTTTTTCAGGTGTGAAGTACAGGCAACACAGCCAACTTTGAAGACTAAGAGCCTCTTTCTCTCCCACTCTTGCCTGTCTGGCTTTCCTTAACACCAGTCCAAGAAGTTGGCAAAGTGTGGCAGCTATTCTATAGTACAAAGTAGAAATGGTGCCCAACCTTTTGAAGACATGACTCAGTTTGACACTGAGATTTTTCTGCTACCTCTCAATGCTGGTTATCTATCTTACCATCATGCTAGGCTGTGAATCAGCAGTGGCAATATTTTTCAGATATAAGCTGACTGATACACATTAAAGCCTAACTGTATTGGCAGAGGACATCAGAAATACAGTGTGTTTTTTTATTAGGTGTTCTGTCATAGTGCCAAAAGATATTCTAAACAAGAATCATGATTTCACTTATCGATAATTTAGCCATGCAAAATAGCATTTGTATATACATATATATGAAATTTCAAAATAATAAGAAAGTTTTGTCTTTGTTTTAATATCTTCAAATTACAAAACACTCCACTGTCTCAGTGAGTGCTGCCACTTGACTGTAGTGTACCAGCAGGAAGCCCTGTCTGCTAACATAGTTTGTGATAATGGAAGTGCCTAAGAAAGGCTAGAGGCCTAAACAGTTTTAAGGTAAGTTCTGCTACTAACTAGTAGGAAGTGTATGTTTTATTAGACTGAAGTTCACTTGATAAAATATTCTTTAAAAAAAAAAAGCTTTTTATTTAAAGAAGAAGAAAAAAACTGTAGAAGTCTGTATCTTTTCTGTTTCTGTGCATTCAACTCAAAGAACATTGAGTCCAGTAAATTTATCTGAAAAATATTTAAAACCCCAGCTTCCTAATAGGTCTGTCAGGGATTCAGAGTATATCATCTGAACCTCCATTTTCTCCATTATTAAAGTAGCTTTATAGGATGACATGTCCCTACCTTCCATTACCTTAATTCCCACCTCCTTGGACGAATGTATTGAGATCTGGAAGTATTAAGAACTGGTATAAGTATGAAATATTCATAAAAAAATGAGTAGTACTTTACAATTGATTTCCAGGCTAAAAGGAGCTAGAGGATTCTGAGATTTAGGGAGAAGGAACTGTGGCAAAGCATCATGTTTTAAAATTATAGTAAGATCAGAAGATATTGTCATACTGATTTTGTGTTTGTAGTTGAATTCCATCATCTTTTATGTAGTTATTGTCATTTTTCACAATTTTCTGCTGTCTGAAGGATCAGAATGAGCAGATGTTTAGATTAGATTTTCAAAGGAATAGTCACATTTCTGTATCCATCTCACTTTGCTTCCTTCCAAAATTTAACTTCATGGTATTTGAAAAGTAAGCTACTGGAATAAGTGAAACATTTGGTTAATGTATGTTTAAGTCAGGCATATGTTTTAGGTCCAAAAAAATTTAGTAAGTTATTTCCCAAATCTGACTACCATGAAATTCAGTTTTAAAAAATGTCCATAGATGAAAATGACAACACTAATGATAATAATCTTTTTAAATGTTAAATAAGTGACATTTTCTTTCAAATGTAAAATTCACATCTATGTATTATGTTCTTGAGAGTGTCTGTCCTATAACCTGGGATATAAACCAAAACCAAACCCATTGCCATCTAGTGGATTCTGACTCATAACGACTCCCACTGGGTTTCCAAGGCGGTAAATCTTAACTTTCTGTGGAGCAACTCAGGGACCATCAGCCTTCTGGTTAGCAGTTGAGTATCTTAGGCACTGTGCCACCAGAGCTCCTTAACCTGGGAAATAAAAGTTTAAATTTTTAATTCAAAGTTTAAATATGAATTTGAGAAAATGTTTAATAAAAATTCTGCCTTGGTTGCTGAGGTCTTCATACTAAACATGTAATTGAAGACAGTATTAAATGCTTTGAACATAGTGACACTTAGATGTGTGTGTGTGCGCACACTTTGTTTTTTTGGTATGTTTTAGTAGCTGTGGGATTTTGGGGTTGGTTTTTTTTGTTATTGTTTTTAATCTTTTTTTGTTGTGATAAAATAACATAAAATTTGCCACTGTAACCATTTTTAAATGTGCAATTCAGTGGTATAAGTTACATTCAAAATGTTATGCAACTATCACCAACATTTCCGAACCTTTTCCATCACCCCAAACAGAAACTCTGTACCCATTAAGTAATAACTTCACATTTCCCTTCCTCCAAACCTCTCATAACCTCTAATCTATTTTCTGTCTCTATGAATTTGCCTATTCTAAATATTTTGTAGGAGCACTGGTAGCATAGTGGTTAAGCACTTGGCTGCTAACTGAAAGGTTGGGGGTTTGAACCCTCCAGCTGGCTCTGTGGGAGAAAGATGAGACAGTTTGCTTTGGTAAAGATTGTAGCCTTGGAAACCCTATGGGGCAGTTCTACTCTGTCCTTTAGGGTCACTGTGAATCAGAATTGACTCAATGGCAGTGGGTATTTAAACTTCAAACATATAGGTAAAATCATACAATATTTGTCCACACTTGATTCTTAAATTACTTTTTTAAGGTTGTTTCTCACTCTCCCCTTCATCTCTTAAAATTTCATTATAACCTAATTAATTATAAACTTAGTTAGCCAACTAAGAAGACTGCCATAGGATATAAAGATGAATTGTCAAGGAGCTCAATGGTCAGACTTCTGAGCTGTTACCTTTTTTATTGTGAATCATACAAATTCTGCTTCTTAATATGGTATCCATAAAACGCCATCTTGGTGGGGTATCTCAAGCATTTTTAAGATGTTGTCCAGTGAAAGAAAAGGGTCTATAGGGAAGCATAAATGTATATGCAGTTTCTCTTAGAGAAATAAAATTCTTTGTCCTAGATCCGATGTCCACTTTTCACAAGATGATTGCTGAGGAGGTTATAGGCAACTTCTCTGTTAAAAAGCCTTGCTTTCTGTTAATTAGAGATGTGCAAGCAAGCCAGCGCTCCATAGCCTTAATTGCAGAAATGATCCACACTGCTAGTCTGGTTCATGACGATATTATTGATGATGCAAGTTCTCGAAGAGGAAAGCACACAGTTAATAAGATCTGGGGGGAAAAGAAGGTATGGTTTTGTTTTATTTTTAAATCTTTCTTACAAAATGTGTTCTTTGGATTGCATTTATTTTTCAGATTTGTCTCCTTAAAAGTAAAATATACTTGCTCAAATATCGTGTTCCAGTTTTCAAAAAAGCATACTCTATCAGTATATACAGATATTTGGTAACAGAAAATACTATAGAAGAATAAACTTAGTGTTTCTGGTTATTCACAGTTTCATATAGGATTCCTTTTGGTTATAAGAAAAGAGATCTTTCATAGGTATCCAAAAGCGTATTTCATGAGGAATCAGCATTTTACTTTTGGGCTCACATCAACTCAGATTCAAGTTAATCCTTTAAATACTCACTGATTAACTACTACCACATTGTAGTACAAAAGAGGCAAGGCAAGGAAATAAATATAAAATATTTTTAAATCCCAGAGGCATACTGCTCTATCATTGAAAATTTCATCTTTTTAAGTAGAGGATCTATAGTTGGTTTAGATGTATATATAAATGAATCTTTCCATATTATTTTGTATTTCTTGAAGAGGGGTATGTGAAATGGGGATTTTCATTTGAGGATGTTTAAATCATGGTTTCAAGAATGGGAATTAAGTTCCAGAAATAGAATTGAAGATGTACAGGCTGTTTCGGAGCAGGCCTGTACCACTGCATACACACCTCTGTGAGCTATCCTGCCCGGCCAGTTGAAGAGCAGCAAAAAGTTTATGTGAACAAGTTTTCCCTCTTCTGACGTTCCCTTCCTCACCTACTTATAGTACCTGATTCCCTCCTAGTTTTTAATTCCCATTACCAAACACAAAACATGTTCTCTTCACTTGCTGATTTTGCTTTAATGTAAATAACTTTGTTGTATAATCACATCCTACTATTTCATTTCTAAGTTTTTTATTTCAGAATTTAAATGAAAAGGCTTTGTATCCTATTCCATCACCTACTTCTTTCTGCTTTTGGAGACTGCCTGCAAGCCGTCTCTATATATGCCTCTGAACAAAAACTACTGTTAAAAAAAAAAAAAACACTCATTACTGTGGAGTTGATTCCAACATAGCAACCCTATAGAACAGAGTGGAACTGCCCTATAGGGTTTCCAAGGCTGTAATTTTTGCAGAAGGAGGCTACCACATATTTCTCCCATGGAGTGGCTGGTGAGTTCAAACTGCCCACCTTTCAGTTAGCAGTTAGAGCTTAACCACTGTAGCTACTGTTACAGATACATAAAATCTGTTCACGTAACCCCTTCTCCACGATCCCGTGTTACTGCCCTGGGTTTCCCAGGCTTGCTTTTTTTTAACTCTTCACAATCTTGTGGCCCAGTTTCATATGCCTAAAACTTTTTGGCCTCTACAATACTCGAAGGAGGGAGAAGAAAGGGATTAAAAGCTAAGGATCCCAGGTCCTGAGTTGGTAATGTTGTAAGGGGTGGATGGATGAATATAAGTATGTGTACACATGTGTGTGAAATGATTTTAGAAATGTATGCTTATAGGAAGGAGTTCTGGTGGTGCAGTGCCTAAGGCATTTGACTGATAATCAGAAGATTGGTGGTTCAAACCCAACAGCAACTCTGTGGAAGGAAGACCGGGCAATCTACTTCTGTAAAGATTTACCATTTCAGAAACCCAGTGGGGGTCACTATGAGTTGGAATCAACTCGATTGCAGTGGGTTTGGTTTTTAGGTATCTTATATAATATAAAGATTTATATAGGATATATATGTGCTGTATAGGCACTCTGGTGGCCTGAGGCATTTGACTGCTAACCAAAAGGCTGAAGGTTCAAACCCAGCAGCTACTCCTCGGAAAGAAGTTTGGGCAATCTACTTCCATAGTGATACTCTTGGAAACCCAAGGAGGGGTCGCTATGAGTCAGATCCAGCTTGTCAGCAGTGAGGTTTTTTGTGTGAGTGTGTGTGTGTGTGTGTGGTTTTTTTAAACATGATGTATAATGAGATTTTAAAATGATTTAATGGTAAACATACTGAACATCATCATTAAGTTTAAGTACTAAAAAACCTTAAAAAGTGTAGTTATGTTGAAAATTTCACAAATTAAAATTTCTGTGAACTAACATTTATGACTAGTTACTATAGAAGAATAAACTTAGTGTTTCTGGTTATTCACAGTTTCATATAGGATTCCTTTTGGTTATAAGAAAAGAGATCTTTCATAGGTATCCAAAAGCGTATTTCATGAGGAATCAGCATTTTACTTTTGGGCTCACATCAACTCAGATTCAAGTTAATCCTTTAAATACTCACTGATTAACTACTACCACATTGTAGTACAAAAGAGGCAAGGCAAGGAAATAAATGGAAAATATTTTTAAATCCCAGAGGCATACTGCTCTATCATTGAAAATTTCACATTTTTAAGTAGAGGATCTATGGTACTTACACATGTCTTTAAATATGCAAATTAATGTGTATGTATATAGAGTGTTTGATTAAACAATAGAATTGAATGATGTATAATTTATAATTAGTTGCTAATATGATGTGGACATCTGCTCACAATCCAAAGAAGATTAGAAAAATAATTATCTACTGCTCAGAGAAGTTGAAAAAAGGATTCTGTCTAGGAATGAGGGGTAATGTAATATAGGCGCAAAGAACACTGAACTTGGATCCAAGACTTTTTGGTTTAGTTTGCAATGACAAAACGTATTGTGCCATGTGCTGGGGTATGCTGAGTGCTAGCTGAAGTCACGGCCAGCCTATGCTCTCAGGAGTTTAGTAAATAGGAAAATAAACAAGGAAATCACTGATTTGGATGAAAAGTGCAGTATACACAGCAGTGCGCAAGGGTGTTGTGCTCACACAGAACAGAGGCATCTGGTCATACTGGTGGATCAGATTAGACTTCCTTGAGACACCATCTGAGCTAATTATGCAAATGAAGAAGGGAATGATTTTTTGAGCAGATGAAACAGTAAGTGAAAGGCTCAGCAACATGGTATGAGGGAAGAGCAAATGGTTCAGCATTACTAAAATGGTTCAGCTGCCTTCATTTTGGTGGAGTGTGGGGGATGAAGCTAGAGGATAAACTACTTTCCCTCTTTGGGCATTTGTTTCTTCGGCTGTGAGTTGGAGACATAGTCTGAGTAATCTCTGAGAGCCCATCCAACTCAAATGATGTTCCTGATACATAACTGATTATTGCATCATCCTGCTAAGCAAGAGGGAGGAAAACTTAAATCCAAAATGGCCATTCCTTTCCATTCTTTATCTTTTGATAAGCTGACTTCATTGTTGACTCAGTGACTCTTGACATTTTTCTGTGAAGGCTTTTTTTTTATTTTCTAGGCTGTTCTTGCTGGAGATTTCATTCTTTCTGCAGCATCTATGGCTTTGGCACGAATTGGACATACAACAGTTATATCTATTTTAACCCAAGTTATTGAAGATTTGGTGCGTGGTAGGTTGATTTTGGCTTTTTTTTTTTAATTCCATATTGGTGTTAGTCAGGTGATAAAACCTTATCTCATAACCTCTTTCTTTCTTTACAGGGGAATTTCTTCAGTTAGGGTCAAAAGAAAATGAGAATGAAAGATTTGCACACTACCTTGAAAAGACATTCAAGAAGACTGCAAGTCTGATAGCCAACAGTTGTAAAGCAGTATGTACGTTCTGTCTTTTCAAGTTAACAGACTCCTCATAGCTCTTTCTTGGGAGCTAATTCTCCTAGAAAAAAGTTCATTGGAGAACCTTAAAATAGTACCCAAAATCCCAAGAGGTCCATGAGGAAAGAATTAACATCCCCAAACAACAGACAACTTCTGCTATGATTTTCCCTTTGTCCTGTTTTCTTTTGGTATGCAGACATTAACTTTTTAAACTTTTCCTCTAAAAATTAACTCAAAATAAGCTTTATAATTTATTCCCCCATCTAATTTCCAAACTGTGTAACATTTTAAACAATTTATCATTAGTAATTTGAGTATTTTCAGATGTACACTATTTTTGAGTTTTTACTTTTGAAAAAGTTTATGAAGCTCTGTGCTTTTAAATATGATGTTGTTGTTGTTGTTGTTATGTGCCGTCAAGTCGGCCCCGACTCATAGCGACCCCTCCTTGGGTTTCCGAGGCAGTATCACTACGGAAGTAGGATTGCCCAACCTTCCTTCCGAGGAGTGGCTGGTGGGTTTGAACCGCCAGCCTTCTGGTTAGCAGTCAAGTGCTTTAGCCACTATGCTACCAGAGCTCCTTTTAAATATGATAGGTTTCCCAAAAAAAAAAGGTCCAGCCTTGCTGGTCTGATATGGACTGATGGAACCCCTGAGGCTATGGCCCTTGGACACCCTTCAAGCTAGGAACTGAACTTGAGTCCCATGACTCAACTGTCAGCCAAATGGTGAATAGACCTATAAGGTGAACAGTAATGTCAGGAGGTTATGAACTCATTAGAACAACCAAGCATATGAGATTGAGAGGAGCATTTGCCCCGGGATAGAGCTAGGAAGATGGGAGGGGATGGGAAGGAAGGATGAAGAGAAGGGATAGTTGCAGGGAGGAAGCGGGAAGAATGCTGTTACTATGTAGGGATGGAGTAAATGTCACAAAACAGAATGTGTATGGATTGTTGAATGGAAAATCAATTTGCTCTGAAAACGTTCACCTAAATTGCAATTAGAAAAAGAAAAAAAATAATAGGTTTCTCAGTCAAAAATCTCAATATCAAGGAGACATATTCCCCTCCCCACACAGACACACAAACCGAGATTAAAGTAGAGTAAAGCAGTCATCTCTGGTAAATCCTTGATGCTTGGAGTGGACAGGAATTACTAACCAAGCACATGTTGGTAGGCAGGGAAAACTGGAATGAGTAAAGAGACACATAAGGGTCCAAAGGTTAAGAGTATGGTAGAAAAAGGAGATGTAAGTTACTGTATACCGTGTTCTAGGAACTGAGAGGATTCTTAGAAGTCAATATCAAAATCCAACACCTCACCTGAATTGCTTCTGCTTCCTTCCTCATGGTAAAACACAGGCTGAGAACCAGAGCTATAAAACATCTTGTTGTTGTTGTTATGTGTCGTTGAGTTGGACCCAACTCATAGCGACCCCTCCTTGGGTTTCCGAGGCAGTATCATTACGGAAGTATTGCCCCATCTTCCTTCCGAGGAGTGGGTTTGAACGGCCAGCCTTCTGGTTAGCAGTCAAGTGCTTTAGGCACTACGCTACCAGAGCGCCTAAAAAAAATCTTAGACTGTATGAAATAATACAGTTTAAGAAACCATCACCTGTAAGATGCACCATAATTTTACACAAATAAAAAGTTGGGAAAGCTTTTTTTAAAAAAAAAAGAAAGAAAAATGAAATCAAAGGAATCTCAATAGTTATAAAGGAGAAAACTCACTGCTGTCGTCTGGATTCTGACTCATAGAGACCCTGTAGAACTGAGTGCAACTTCCCCCCCTCCCTCCAGATTTCCAGGACTGGAAAGCACACTTCTGGAAACAGGCTGCCTCTTCTTTTTCCCATGGAACAGCTGGTGGGTTCTTTTTGTCAGTAGCCCAGTGCTTTAACCACTGCACCACCAGAGCTCGCCCTATAAAGAGGAAGTGAAAGTTATTTCCATACAAAGAAATTAGGAAATCCCTAGTCTAAGCAGGAATACTATAAATAACTTTTTTTTCATTTTGAAATAATACCTTCTTGTGTTTCTAATTTACCCAGAAAGGTGCCTTAGTGGCGCAGTGGTAAAGCATTAGGCTGCTAACCCAAAAGACTGTGATTGAAACCCACCAGCTGCTCTGTGGGAGAAAGATGAGGCAGTCTGCTTCCATAAAGATTTACAGCCTTGGAAACCTATGGGGTGGTTCTACTCTGTCCTACAGGGTCAGTGTGAGTTGGAATCAACTTAACAGCAACACACTTGGGTTTTTGTGGTTTAATTTAATCAGGAGAAAATATCTGTTAGATTGTATTTGAATTTCATATACTTTCTCATGAGTAGTAGATTCCCCTAAGATTTTTATATGGAAGATAAGCCATTTTTCTTCAGGGTTTAAATTGAGTGTGAACCATGACTTCTTTTCCCCTTGCTCTTCCTGGGCCTCCCTCCACTCTCCACACACTTGTCTTTTATAAAAATCAGTAATATTGTCTTTAATCTGTAGGTTAAATGTGTGGTGTTTAGTGTTGAATGAGAAGACAGTTCTGTCCATAGACTTATTTGACCATCTCTCAGTCTAACAGACATAACAGAGGTGAAACTTGGGTTTGCTTTTCAACAAGAAGGAAAAACCTATAAGGTAAATTGTCACGACTCACTCTTAACATAATTACAGTTAAACAGAGCTTTTTCTCAGACTTTTCCAATGAAATAGCTCCTTCCCTAGAGTGTCTTTGTTTTGAAAAGTGTCGAAAAATGTATAATTGTGAGCTAGAAAAGAATGAGGGCAACATTTTCTTACGAGAAAGACTCAGTTGAAACCCTAAGGAATGTGAATTATGTAAAACATGCTGGCCACAGTTGCAGCCAATTTTATGTTTTTATTGAAATGACTAATTTTTTTTTATTTCCAAGAAATTTGAAGTGTGAATTTTTAAAAAACAGACAGATGAAAACACAGTGTTGTTGTTGTTATGTGCCATTGAGTTGGTCCCGACTCATTGTGATACCTCCTTGGGTTTCTGAGGTGGTATCACTTCGGAAGTAGATTGCCCAGTCTTCCTTCCAAGGAGTGGCTGGTGGGTTTGAACTGCCAGCCTTCTGGTTAGCAGTCAAGTGCCTTAGGCAGTATTCTACAGTAGACACTGAAATACTAAATAAAATAAAGACCTATTTAAAATGGGTGCCACGAAGTCTGTTACATTACTTCTTCATTGATTATCATACCCTTTGTCCAAAATTCCATGAAGATATCAACCCTCATAAGGCAGACTAGTTGATTAAGTGAAGCTTATTGATTGATTAATTATTGCAGACTTATTGAATACTGCAGTGCAGAGCACTACCAAGTAGTGTGGTAGTTGGAATTGGAAACACTGTGAGTCGTCCACACAGGATGAACCTCCCACAGCCCGTGGGTGCAGGAGAGTAGCACGGCATTGGAACATACCAGTAACCGATGCACTTTGAGTTAGAAGAACACTCTTGTCTTGGAAGGGTCCAAAATGGACCTCACTCAATCAGGGAAAAGCTTAATTGTGCTCGTGATCCTTTGTGTAAGAAGCCAGAGACATACTCTTCTGTAAAGAACACCTTATTCTTCAAAGATTAGCAAGTAAATAAAGGGTACGAATATTACCATGGCTCAATCTTTATTACAGTGTACTCTGCTGCCCACTAGGAGGCATGCTAGCATTGTTTCAGAGCTACCTGCTTTCACGTAGGTGATTTATTCATTCCTCAACTCTAGGGCGATTAGAATAATAAAGCAAAATCATAGTATGAGCTCTTGGAATAAGTTTCTGTATTTATAAGTTCTCATGCATGGAAATATTCCAGAGGTTATATATTCAAAATTGCAATTTTTATGAACTCTTGGTATTTAGAATGCAAAGAAATGTGGGCTCCAAAAAGAAAGCCTACAACGCAAATCAGAGATGCAAAAACACAGGACCTCGGAAAGAAAGTTGGGCAATCAATTTGCATAGTGATACCCCTTGGACACCCAAGGATGGGTCACTATGAGTTGGGTCCGACTCAACGGCACACAACAACAGCAACAACAAAAAGAGGAGTGATAAAATTTAAACATCAGAACTATTACAAAAGAACTAATGAGATGCTATAAGAATTTGAAGGTAACTTCAGTAGCTTATATTTCATTCTTCTGTTTCTGGTAACAGCATAAATTGTTAATTCTTATTAACAGATGCCTTTTCTAAGCAACTCCCCCACCCCTTTTATTAACCAATCATTTTTTGCTTTTTTTTTTTTGGTATTATTGTGGTAAGTAGATATATAACAAAACTTTTGCCATTTCAGCAATCTTTACATGTATGGTTCAGTGACATTGAATGTGTTCTGTGTGTTCAACAATCAGCATTCCCAAATTTTTCCATAACCATTGGTAGAGAAGTTCAGTGTCCCCTAAGCACTGACCCATTGTATTTTTAATGGAAATAATGTTAAAATCTAAAAGTGTTGCCTGAAGAAAACCAAACCAAACTCACTGCCATCTTTGAGGCATTTCTGACTCATAGCAACCCCTCCTTGGGTTTCCGAGGCTGTATCTCTATGGAAGTAAATTGCTCAAGTCTTCCTTCTGAGGAGTGGCTGCTGGGTTTGAACTGCAATTTCTGGTTAACAGTCAAATGCCTTAGGAACTGTGCCACCAGAGCTCCTAAAAGGGTTGCCTGTTGTTGTTGTTGTTATGTGCTGTCGAGTCGGACCCAACTCATAGTGACCCCTCCTTGGGTTTCCGAGGCAGTTATCACTACGGAAGTAGATTGCCCCGTCTTCCTTCCGAGGAGTGGCTGGTGGGTTTGAACTGCCAGCCTTCTGGTTAGCAGTCAGGTGCCTTAGGCACTATGCTACCAGAGCTCCTAAAGGGTTGCCTAGGGGGATTATTTTGTGACTGGTTGTTACTAAAATAGAGTTAATTCTATCATAAAAAGATGATTGACTGTTTATATTCATAGTAATGCAAAATGCATGCTGTTCCTTACCAATGAAGGCTGTGACTTTTTTGCCAGAAGATATGGAAATAGAGCCCATACTGTCAAGTTATGTTATTCCTCCAGTCAATGGCTGAGGTGGGACTGGAACCCCGAACTGAGTGTTGCAGTTCTGCAGTCAGCTGTTTTTCCTTTGACTTTTTTCTGTATTTGTTTTCTCTCCAGGGGTGAATGTGGTCTGTATTGTCTTCATGTTACTTTATTGTCAAAGCTGCATAGTGCCACCACTTTACCACAGCAGTACCATAGAATTTTGTTTTGTGGATGATATCAGCAGAGCACTCTTTTGATGTCGTTGTTATACTTTAATCTATAGACTTTAATCAAATTTTGCTAGTTGTCCTTATGTTGTCTGTTATAAGAAAAGAGAAAAAAGAGTATCTGGTCCAGGATCCACTCCAGGGGCTCACGGAGCATTTAGTTGTCGTGATCTTAAGTACCTTTTCATCTGACACAGATGCTCCATCTTCATCCAATATTACCTTGATATTTTGAAGAGAAAAAGCCAGTTCTGCTGTAGAGTCAAGTTGGGTTTGTCTGATATTTCTCAAGATTAGACTGAGGTTATGAATTTTTGGCAAGAACAGAAGTGATGTCATCTCATTTCAGCACATTAGGACACATGCTGTCTCTTTATCCCTTTACTGATACCCCTTTGATCACTTGAAGGTGGTGTCTGCCAAGTTTCTCCACTTTAAAGTTACTATTTTTCCCTTTGAAATTAGTAAGTATTTGGGGTGCGGTATTTTGAGATTATGTAAATAATCTGTCTCATTAAATTCTCATTGCCTGGTTTTATCATCTATGTATGATTCTTTGCTGAGCCATCGTGAGGTATCATACTGATAGCTCCACATCCAGCCTAGAATCATAGGATTCATGTTTTATCCATTCTGTTTTTTAATCAGTTACCATATCCCACTGGATGATAGCGCCATGGTTTATTCAACATTTAGGCATGGGCATTTAGCTTTCCAGTATTTTACAAACAATGCTACAATGACTGATGTTGTGCAGATATGTATTTTTATATTTGTTAGAGGTGTACTTTCAGGGTAAATTTGAAAGGTAATTGCACATGTGGTTTTTGTGGACACTACAATTTTCCTTCCATAAGGATTGTATGAATATGCATTTCCACCAGCAGTTTGTGAGTTTTCCCACATAGTTTTCAATTTTTGTCAGTCTGATAGATGGGAAATAGTATTGCAGTAGACTTTAAATTTGCATCTCTTTTTCATGAGTGAGGTTAAACATCTTTTCATATGCTTTGGGCCATTTTTTTTTTTTGGTTGAAATTCTTTTTTTTTTTTTAAACTGTGATTTGGGTGAAAGTTTACAGAGCAGATTCACTTTCCATACAGCAGTTCACACACACGTTGTCTAATGACATTGACAGTTTACCCCAGTGCAACACCTCCCCTCCCAATTCCTCCCGATAGTTACCTCTTCCCTGTGTCCATCCCTCCATGCACTCCTGCTCCCTGAACTGTCTCCCTTGATTGTTTCATCTTCCTCCCATGATTGTTTTCTCCAAGGGATGTATCTACCTCAGGTACATGTTCAACTCTTATGCCTGTCTGTTATTTGGCTGGAAGCCACAGGTGTGGGTTCAGTTCCAGACCTGAAGGGCAGCTAGGAACCATAGTCTCAGTGGTTCCACCAGGCTCTATCAGGCCAGCAAACCTGGTCTCGCTTTGGGCCATTTTTATATCTTTATTTTTTGTGAATTTTCTTTGCTTGTCTTTTGCCCATTTTTCTATCGGGTGTCTGATGTTTCTTCTTTCAGCTTATAAGAGTTCTTTACACAGTAAGAATATTAGCGGTTTATCTGTGATGTTGCATCTATTTTCTCTCAAAATTTTCAGTTGGTTTTTGACAACAACCTCTTAATTTAATGTATTGGTGTTACACCAATAATCTCTTTTTAATAAATAAGACCACAATACATACATACATACATATATTCATGTGTATAGTGTGTGTATATATGTATGTATATACACACATACATCTGAATATAAGGTGGCACAAACACATACTTCAAGGCCAGAAATATTTGAAAAATATCCAGTGTTTTGCCCCTGTCAGTGAAAATAGTAGTTCCTAATCTTTTTGAGACATGACTCTTAAGAATTTGACGAAAGGTATGAGCATTCTTTAGAAAGATGCACATAGACACAACATGGCGTGGCTGTGGCATTGGATTCAAACGAAACTTTGTACTTCACCCACTTCCAGGAAGGTTGTGAAGCAGCCCTCCTCTGATGTGAAGAACAAACAGGGTTCATTGGCTGTCAGTGTACCTCCTTTCCATTTTTTCTATTGTGTTGCATCTGACTTTCCTAGTTGTGATAGCTGTTTTCTGTTTCTTTGCCAGAGATCCAGACAGTCCTTCCCTGAGCTGGGGGAGCAGGATCCTCTGGGGTGGTCTGTACATTGCATTAGTTGAAATCTGTATATGAAGGTAGAAGATGCCCACTAATAAATAAATAGCTCATTTCTGTGTGAGCATATGTCAGGAGCTCTGGTAGCTTAGTGCCTAAGGCATCTGACTGCTAACCAGAAGGCTGGTGGTTCAGACCCACCATCCACTCCCCGGAAGGAAGGTTGGGCAATCTTCCGTAGTGATACTGCCTCGGAAACCCAAGGAGGGGTCGCTGTCAGTCGGATTTGACTTGATGGCAGTGAGTTGGTTTTTGGTTTATATGTCAGCAAGTAGTGGACACTGTGCACAGACCAGCTTTATGGATAGTTGGGCGCATTACCTGACGTCTCTCATTAGAAGCACTATTTGTTATGTGCCGTCAAGTTGGACCTGACTCATAGCGACCCCTCCTTGGGTTTCTGAGGCAGTATCATTAGGGAAGTAGATTGCCCAACCTTCCTTCTGAGGAGTGGCTGGTGGGTTTGAACCGCCAGCCTTCTGGTTAGCAGTCAAGTGCCTTAGTTAGGCACTAGGCTACCAGAGCTCCTAGAAGGCAAATCTATTAAGAGAGCAGTCTCTGCAGCCAAAATGTTAGATTCAAAATTCTGATTCCAGTATTTCCTAGCCATGTACTAGTGCTCTCTATGCCATGTTCTTACATCATAAGTGAGTTAATATATATTAGTCCTCAGTGTAGTGCCTGGCATTTACTAAGTATGAAATAATTATTAGTTACTGTTATCATCATCCACAAAATAAGTATTTATGGGATATTGTGATGTTTAGCTAAAATAATGTAAAGTGCTAATCACATGTGCTCTGTCGATTTTAATTCCTTTTCTTTGAGTTTATAAATACTTTTTTTTTTAACTCAATCTTTTACTTCTCATAAAGAAAATTTCTATTTTTGTGTTAAGGAAACAGCATTAACCTGGCTATAGAGAATTGCTTCAATGATCAGTTATTTCATGATACACCTGCGAAAGGAATATCATTCTGTTCTGAATTCGGCTCATTCCAGCCTGCCCAAATCTTGCCACACTCATTCTTTTAGTCAAGTTGATGGGTATCTTGACTTCTTCCATATTTCTAAATTGTCACCCATGTGGTCCCACAGACTCTAGTTTAGTTGAAGAGGAGTCCCTCCTTCATTTTACAGATGAGGAAACTGAAGTGCAGAAAGATTAAATAACAAGCCAAAGTCATGTGGTAATTGGAAGGGGCATAATCCATATCTAGGAGGCCAACTGCAGAGCCTACACCCCAACCACTGTGATGTATTGACTGCCTGCCTAAAGTGTGGTCCCTGAGCAGAGAAACGCTGAGGTGTAGGGTCCAGGGTCAGGGAACAAAAAAAAAACCTCAACACCGTCGAGTAGATTCGATTCATAGCGACCCCTCCTTGGGTTTCTGAGGCACTATCTCTGCGAAAGTGGATTGCCCAGTCTTCCTTCCGAGGAGTGGCTGGTGGGTTTGAACCGCCAGCCTTCTATCAGTCAAATGCCTTAGGCACTACGAGACCTAATATAATTGATGATCCATTGCTAAGGAAGACGGTGAAGAGCTCCATCTGGCTTTCTCATTTAGAGTCAATATAGACATTTCCTCTGCAGTAGAATAGCATGTCTTTCCCCCTCCCACTTTTGGTTTTAACCCAGCCTTTGTTTTTTGTAAATGTGTTTGGGCCTGCTTAGCATGCCTAGCAGAGCATCGGGAAATGCAATCAAGTGGCTAGTACCAGCTAGTTTTTTGGAGTTTTTGAAAAAGACTTTCAGAAGCCCTGTTTCTCCCTCACTGAAAAGTTTTTATACAGTTACATTATTTCTTGTGAGAAAAAAAAATATGGAAACAGTAGAACTAGTGAAGATCCTTCTGATAATGAAAGAATCCTACTTTTATCTTCAGTATGAAGTTTGAGGCTCTTACAGACATAGAAATAGCTGCGTTTCGGAAGAAACAGCTGCATTTAAAAGAATGGACCACAGCGGGGGAGATGATTATATATGGCAACAACATGTATTTGATTAGATTCAGTATTCCTCAAATGAGGATAAATTAATAGCGTTTATTAAAGCGAACAATTGGGCTTGGTTTGCTGGATGGTGAAAGCCAGTATTTCACATATTAGAGTCTGTTTCTTCTGCATGTCAAAGACGTTTACTTAGCTAGTTGTTTGGTTTTTCCTGAGCAGTGGGGAAGACTGAACTGTCTTGAGGGAGGATGTTTTTCTTAGAATTTAAGAAAACAGTCTAAGAATGAAATTTTCATTAGAAACAGTATTTTGTACCTGTTCGATCTTCTGATAGCAGTGTCTCCTGATTATACATACATCTTCTGGCTTCCCTACCTCTTAAGAGATTACCTTACTACTGTGTCAGTCTTTCTAGGGGTTTACAGCCTTATTTCCGTCTGCCAGCAGCTTATATTGGAATTCTTTGTTTCAGGTCTCTGTCTTAGGATGCCCTGACCCAGTGGTGCATGAGATTGCCTATCAATACGGAAAAAATGTGGGAATAGCTTTCCAGGTTGGTATGCTTATTTATAAGAATGGTGTCAGGTTGTTCTGTCAATATTGTGCCCCAGACTAGAATCCTCTGGGCAGGGGAAGGGTGGCAGTGATGTTGGTATGGTGTACTTCTTAAATTTCTTTTTTTCCCCCCCTTTTGCCAGCTAATAGATGATGTATTAGACTTCACCTCATGCTCTCACCAGATGGGCAAACCAACATCAGCCGATTTGAAGCTTGGGTTAGCCACTGGCCCTGTCTTATTTGCTTGTCAGCAGGTACGTTTTACAAACTCCCTTTGACACACTGACATGTAGCTCTATAGAACCAGAGTCTCTTAGGCACAACCTGATGGGAAGGTGAAAGAAGTGACCGAATAGACTGCAGGCCTGGGTTTGACCTGGGTTTTCTGACTGAGATGTTGAGGAAAGTCATTTCACCTGTTTCCTTATCTGTAAAACAAGAACCTTCCTCCCAGCGCTGATGGTGAGGAATTAACTGAGATAATATTCACAGAGATATTTTGTAAATTGTATGCATTTGAAGTAGCATGATTATTTCCATATATTTTTGACACTGGCAAGGTGAGTGGTTTCTACATTTTAAGTCTAGGCCGTGGCTTTTGGATATGCCTCAGAGCCCCCTTAACAAGGCTCAGGAAGGATCAGAGACATTGGAGCATAGGAGTCTCAGAAATTTTCCATTCCATTTGCCATTCTCAAAATAGCAAAAAAGTTAGTGGAATGCTCCACCAGAATTGCATAATTCCTTCTCTCTCCAGATTCTTATTCTCCCTGCTATGGATGAAAGGCTTAAGAAGCTTAAAGAGGCTACAGTGACTTACAAAGCAGACATTTTTACAGCCTGCTCTACCACAGCCATACATCTTCTCTGTGCCAAATAATTAGTTGAAATACATGGGCATTGGCTGGCACTTGAGACATCTTTTAAAATTTTTATTGTGATTTGGGTGAAAGTTTAGAGAGCAAATTGGTTTTCCATTCAGCAGTCCACATGGGACATCTTTTTAGTAGATTTTCATGTCAATGGTATTTAACAGTTTTAAAGGTCTTCATCACCATGCCATGAAATGGAAAAACTACCTCTGTTCTAAAATTTTACTTTCAGTTTTTCAGAGATTTTGCCTCTGTTCTTTCTCAAAATTTGTAAACATATATCTTCCATATAACTTCTTATAAATCAGTCATTCCATTTTGATGTTACAGAAAGCAGTGGCCTTGCTTTTGATTAGTTTTTGATCCCAGAATGGAGAGATCATCTTTTTGTCTGTCTTCTAGGAGAGCCACAGCTATAGATGAGTCTTCTTCCTAGGTGAGGGGAGGGTGGGGCGATAGAGGGTGGTTACCTTGGGTAGCACGCTAGCAGTCAGTTGAGGAACAGGGGGTGTGGCTGAGGATTTTGGGCACTCTGTGGAAATAGTAGCCCTCAATATTACCAGGTTCCAATTTCTCAAAATTTTGAAGCAGAGGTGAAATGTATATATAAATGAGTCCTTTCTCCCAAAGAGATTGATTGGAAAATTTTGGTTGTATAGGGCTTACTCACCAACCAGAAACTCAGGTGGAGACAAATGCCAGTAAGTGTGCCAAGTGCTGGCAAAAATTAATAAACTCTCCTTTCATACATTAAGGCCTAAGTGAGGAATCCTTTCCTATCTTATCATTACCCACAAAAAAAGCAAAGTATTCATGAGTAAAGGCATGTTTGAGATTAGAAGAATTAGTCACTGGCTACCATCTCTGCAACTACAAACATTAATCTACTCAGACCCTGATTAATACACCTGAGTAATGAATTATAATGATGGGCCAAGCATGGTAAAATATACTGATTCATCAGTAATCTACCAGCATCTGAAAAATGCTGGTAAAGAAGGGGGGGTGGGGAACATAAGGAAAAGACTACAGTGCTCCAAACTGCTGTTTTATGTTTCACTGGGAAATCCTAGTGTCATGAGGCACCAACACTCACTGTCACCAGACACCACTTTTCTCTTCTGCCCCTAAGGCAGTGGGAAAAGAGTTAAGAAAGTACTTTACAGCCTCAGAAAAGGGAACACAGAATGAGGCTGAGCAGGAAGTGACACTCCACACTGAGCATGACTTGTTTCATAAGCAGACTGATTTTTCTGTCTTGTGTGTGGGGCCAGAAGTTAGTCGAATATGTATTTGTAAGTTTTAGGGTTTTTTTTTTGTTGTTGTTTTTGCCTTCTAATAAAATAGGAACTTAAGCTCGTATTATGCATTATACTGTCACAAAAATTTATCATAAAAAGGGATTGTTGTTGAGAGATACGTTTGTGAAAAGATTTATGGTCCTAAAATTAATTTTGGGTAAAACAAGTTCCAAAAATAACATTTAATGAAAATGCATTGTCTTTGTAGTTTACAAAGGATTCTTTTATACATTATCTCTAATCTTACAGCTCTTCTCTGTGGTGGGTATCATTACATTATGTGTGTTTTACAAGTAAGGAACTAATGTTCAAACCTGAACAAATTAAACATCCAATAAATGGCATGCAGGCAACTAAACACTTCAAGTCTTCTAAAATCAGCATTCATTTTACTGCACCAAGTAATGTTATTGCCACTGATAATGTTAGTAAAAGTGACTACTTCACTTATGATATACAGCAGGTCTTCCCAGAGCATATAACCAGTGTTCCCTGGCACTGAAAACGTATTGGTGACACTTGAAGAACAGGCTCTGTGTTAATGCTTCATTACTGTGATTAACTTACCCATTTAGTGGAGTAGAGGAATAATTGTTAAGACATGATAATCCTTTTCCATAGGTAGATGCATTTTGTTTGCAGATAGGTAAACAGCCTTTGAAGTTAACCTATGATGAACACTGACTATGATTTTCATTGGACCAGGACAAGCAACCTGGGAAAACCTCTTTTTTTTTTAACTTGGCACAATTGGTTGTCTTGAAATTAGATTTTTTGAACCAGCACTTGACAGAAACTCCCTATACTTTCCAGATAGTCTTTTACTGTGTAGCTTTTTGAAATTTCACTATTTTGAAATATTTTGAAGGGGTTTCCTTGATGACAGTTGGTATAGGTGACTTAAGAAAAGTTTAAGAATTTCTGGAGATGTTCCAGTGGTGACAGTGTCTTTCTAAATGTCTATATGTGTACACATATTTTAAGAGCAAATGCCTCATGTTAAATCTTTAAAGGGCAAATTGATTGGATTTTGAAACCTTCAGAAACAAAATGGAAGTATTTTCCTGTTTGGTGACACTATATTAGTTTTCAAATATCCCTTTAAGAATTATATTCTTTTTCTGCTTCTCTTATTGATAAGTCAGCAGACATAAATGTCAGCCTGTAACAGTGCATCCAACTGCCATTACCACCCCCTGCACCAGCTGCACAAGCTTTTGCCATTATTGTGACTAATAGGTGCCTTAGAGTTACTGGAGTTTTTGTTGGGTAAGCCAACTCTTAACTTACTGATTACCTTTTTAGTTTATGTCAGGGCTTTGAACCAGTTCATTCTGATTGAACACCCTGCTGAAAATTTGCATTTCCGCCCCAGATATACTCTTTTTTTGCATATAATGTCCCCACGCAAATAATGTGCCAGTGCATATCGTGCATAGAAAACTAATGTGCAAGAAGTTACAAATGTAATTTGCTTAAAAATACGGTACTAAATCAGAATCTACGTTTTAACAAGATCCCCAAGTAATTCTTACAGATCCCCCCTTGTAGATGCTTTTTGTTGTAATCTGCATGTTACAGCTCTCTTCTCACTTCCTCCCTATGATTACCTTTTCCCTGTGTCGTTCTTTCCTATGCATTCCTGCTCTCTGAGCTGTTACCCTGTGCAAATACTGACCTTCTGATCTCCTGTGGTTGATTGTTCTAAGGAATATAACTACCTGGTATTAATGTTCACCTTATATGCCTGTCTGTTGTTTGGCTGGAAGCCATGGGAGTGAGTTCAGTACCAGATTTGAGGGGTAACTAGAGGTCATAGTCTTGAGGGTTTCACCAGTCTCGATCAGACCAGTAAGCCTGGTCTTTTTATGATTTTGAGTTTTGTTCCACATTTCTCTCCCACTATTTAGGAGCTCTGGTAGCATAGTGCCCAAAGCATTTGACTGCTAACCAGAAGGCTGGCGGTTCAAATCCACCAGCCACTCCTCGGAAGGAAGGTTGGGCAATCTACTTTTGTAGTGATACTGCCTTGGCAACCCAAGGAGGGGTCACTATGAGTCGGATCCAACTCCACGGCAATGAGTTTGATTTTGTTTTTTTGATTCTCCTATTCTGTCTGGGCACCATCTAGTTCTTCTGGTCTCAGGGTCATGTAACCTGAGGTATGCATGGTCCACTAATCCCTTGGACTATTTCCAGGTGTCTTTGATTTTCTTCATTCTTCTTTGCTCTGGATAAGGAGAGACCAAGTGTTGCATCTTAGATGGCTGCTTAAAGCTTTTAAGACCCCATTTGTTACTCACCAAACCCCTTAGTGGATTCTTATGTAGATAGGGGTCAAACCAGGAAGCCCTGATTTATGGACAGGTTTCACAGAGTTAGAATCCGATTTCTTCACAGGTTGTTTTAATATTCTTAAAAACAGAGTACAAACAAATGCAACTTTTCTTATGCTTTCTCACCAAATCTGCAGGCAGGCATCTGTTCTTCCTGTTATGTCTGTCATTTCTTCTCCCACATACACATAAGCGGGTAGAGGAGTGCCTAGGGGAAGTGTTGGGTATTTGCATGTTGCACACACTACTGTTTCAGAAGAGATGTAATCACACTCAATGCAAATTTTTTTTCAAACTCTGGTTCCTCAATATTTTTTATAGTAAAAAGCATCTGAGAAACCACACAATCAGCATTTACTACATTTGTTGGTAATGCAGAAGAGGCTCATACATTATCAACAAGGTAATTTTACCAGCCACCCAATACAGTATCACATCACTTTTTTGAGGACATAGCCTTCTAGAAGTCCAGTTTTGGAATGTGGCATTAAGAAACTAAAACAAATTCTAATTGATTTGACCTTTTATCACGGAAATGGATTGATTTGGGATTTCCTGATTTATTTCCTATAAAACTTACTCTTGAAAGATCAGGAACTAAAGCAAATTATTGGTTTTCATTTGGGACCGAGTCAGCTGCTGCCTCTTCAGATTCTATAAGCATGTTGTTAGCAGCCTCGGCATGTTTAAAACTTTGTTCTGACACATATTTTGCTCTGAAATGAACATTCTAGATTCCTCTGCC